GACGCAAGGGCTTCCCATGGCCTTTCCAATCCTGCTCTGGTGGCCGCATTGGGCTCATGGGACGCAAGGGCTTCCCTCGGCCTTTCCACTCATTGTCTGTGCCCTTCCCAGCATGGGGAGGCTGCAGTTTATCCCGGAGGTTCTTCCAGCTGCACTCCAGCTGTTTCCTGGATGGGTCCCCTCGTTGTCTCTCTGCCCCCCGTGCAAGGCCAGGCTGAGAGGTCTCCTTTTGGCTTTTCCATGTGCCATCTGTCCGTCCTGTAGGACTCATGGAGCGTGGTGGCCAGGCTCCTCCCTGCTTGTTTCCATCCATGCTCTTCCCAAGGCTTGGGGGGTGCAGGGTGTTCCCCCAGCTTTTTCTCTCACTGGCTTTCCCCATGCTTCCAGCCTGCCAGGCAACTTGGCTCCTCTCTGCTCTGTTCCTCCAGTCCTTCTCTGTGTGCTGGGGAGGGCTCTGAGCTCCTCCTGCCCTCTGTTGCAACCTAGAAGCTGGGCTGGGGGATCGGGGGCTGTTGCCTCCCCTCTCCAGCCGCTGAGTAGGACTTGTGGGCTCTCGGGGCTTCCTCCAGTCCCTCTCCGCCCGTGGAGAAGGGCACATGGGGCGCAGGGGGACCCCGGCCCTCTCTGTTTGTCGAGCCGGGCTGGGGGAGCGCCGGGACTCCTTGGAATCTCTGCTGCACAGCTCAGGGTGCCAGGAGAGCCGCTGACCCTGGGGACACACAGGACAGAGAGCAAAGGGAACACAAGTGATAGCAAGGAGGGAAGTAAGGTGGCATGGGAGCTGGGAGACAAGTTGGTTGGGTTATGAATGGTGTTGCAGAACCTGCACCCCTATGCATAGAGCCAGCTTCTATCCAGGAGAAGCCTCTTGGATGCAGGAATAGGGGAAAATGTGGCAGGAGAAAACAGCCAGGTCTCACCTCCCTGGGCAGGCTGGGGCTGGACTGCCTCCGAATGACTCTGCCTTTGCTGGGTGGCACTGGGGTCTTGCCATCCAGCCGCTCCACGCGGCCCTCCTCCAGTGCCTGGAAAGCCTCCAACGTCTCAGATTTCCTGCAGACACAAACAGCCTGTCTGGCTACTGACTGAGCCCCACTCCAGGCCTACATCTCTGCCTGCCCCAGATGTTGAGGTCTCCACCCTTTTGCTGTAACCATCCCAGCTTCCTCATCCACATCTCCTTCATGCCATTTCTTTGGATCCTCTGCACTTTGCCCCTTCCTGTCTCATCCACTGCCTGGTCCCTGTTACACCTTTGTATGCCCCATGCCACCATTGGGCTGCCAATTTTGGAGCCACTTCTGCTTCTCCAGCTGAGGACTCACCTGGGGACCTCTCGGCATCCCTAATCTTACTAGGATTTGGGAGCTTCTTTCTCCTTTTCCCCATTTCCCAACTCTACAGCATGTCCTGCAGCTCCCAGGACGTGGCTGGGAGCTTCAAATCTGAGCTGTAACCCGCAGCCCTGCTCTCTCCAAGCTATGAAGTGACCTGTGGGAACAATCCACTGCAGAGCTCTCTATTGCTCCTCACCTGCGCTCACAACCAAATATCCTCTCCACCTCCACTCGGCCAGGGCTGAGCGTGCGGGAGCCACGGCGGTCAGCAGCATCCCCACGGCCAAGGCGCTTGGGTTTGGGCAGGTCTGCCAGCACCGTGTACTCCTGCCTCTCCAGCACACGCTTCCCCTCTGTGCCCCCAGCACTGGGGTGCCCACGGGGCTCCCCAGCCCTGGAGGAAGATGCCAAATGCCTGCTGCTGCCTGGACCAGGAGAGGAGCTGCGGCCAGGACGAGGTACAGAGGAAGCCCAGGAAGGGTCAGGTTTTCGAGGTTCCAATGAGAAATAGCCACTCTCTATGCGATGCTTTGCCCAGCCCTCCTTGGGCTTCTGGCTGGCAGGAGCACGCTCTGGAATGGAAAGAAGACTGTTGAATGAGTGGTGTGTAATGCTTCTCTGCCCACAGCAAAGCAGGGCTTCAGGGTTAGGAACAGGGGGTCAGAGGGAAAACCCAGACTGCATGGTGGGGTGGGAGCACAGCAAAGCATGTAGGGAGGCAGCAGCACCATGTTTTATGGTGAGCACACCAAGAGAATCCCACAGGAGAGCAAACCACATGTACCTGCTTTTGGCACAAAGACTTCTTTCCTAATGCTCGGAGCCTCTGTCCTCACCCAGGATCCAGAAGAAAAGGGCTGACCCCACCTAGCTCTGTCCACCTGCAGCTGTGTGTTATCCTTGTGGCCTCTGTAGCTCATTGTGTCCTGCTTGCCTGATCCCAAAGTGGTGTCCAATAGTCTGGTCATCTCCCAGCCCTGACAGACAAATAAGGCAGGACTTTGCAATGGGGCTACAAGTTACTGGGCTGGAACAGGGCAAAGAGCATGTGTGAGAAGTGAAGAGTCCCAGCTGACCCCCCCAGCATTTTGGAAGCTTCTGAGTATGCCCAGCAGAAGTGGCTCTGAGGGGACGAGGAGGCTGTAACCACCCAAACCAAGAGAAGTGCCCATCTCACCCTGCCTTCAGTGTGGCTGTGGGGCTCAGTGCTGGTTTCTCCATGCTGGCCCACAGTGCTGGGGCCGAGTGGGGGCTGTGCCCTGCTCTGGTGCCAGCTGTGGAGCAAGGAGAGGACAGGCAACTGTCAGCATGGCTGCAGAGCCTGGGAACAGGGAGCAGTCACAAGAAACACAGGCAGAGAAAGCGCTCAGCCCTTTTTCCCTGGCAGAGTATAGAATCATCAAGGTTGGAAAAGACCACCAAGGTCACCCAGTCCAACCATTAAGCCATCACCACCATGCCTACTAAACATATCCCTCAGTGCATCGGTGATATCACACCCCATTTTCCCCATCTTCCCCCTCCGTCAGCCTCTGCCACTCACCGCTCTGCGCCGTCTGCCCGACCCACACAGATGTACACCTCGCACTGCGGTGCTACGATGCGGACGGAGTCCCAGGGCCCACCTGGGTCTGCGTTGGTGCTGTGCCCCGCCACCTCTGCGTCATGCTCCTGCGAGGAAGGGGGGGATGCAGCCGTGCCATCGCCGTGCCGGATATGAAAGCACATGAGGATGAGGACTGGGGGAATCTCTGCCTGCAGCCACCCTCCAGCATCTCCCCCAGGCCCGTTACCTGCAGGGTTTAGGAGCAGTGGTAGGGGGCTTCTCTGCCCTCCCTCTGGCATCTGGATACGCTCAGAGATGGCTCTAAGCAGATCGTAAAGGGCTGCAGTAATCTTAGAGGGCCCGGGGGCCAGGGGGAGAGGGCAAGGAGGAGGGCGGGAGGCTCATTACTATTTCATGATCCCCGGCCTGGTGCTCCAAGAGGACAGCGAATGACACGAAACCCTCTGTGAACATGAAACCGGCTGACGCCTGGAGGGATGCAGCGCTCTGCAGCCGCGTGGCTCATGCTGGAGGATGGGGTCAGACCCAGCCCTGCATCGCATGAGATGTATCCCCTTCCACTTTTCCTTCCAGGAACAGCTCACTGCAGCCCCAGGGAGATCTGCCAGGATCATGTTTTAGGTAAGAATCATAGAATGGTTTGAACTGGAAGGGACCAACAGGCCTCAGACATGAAATCCAGGGTGGGTTCCACCCTTGCCATTCCCCCTTCCCTCACCGTGCTATTTACTTGCACGTATCTGTATTGCTTCATCCCTCCTTCCCTTCCCAGGATCTACGGAGCTTCTCCTAACTGCATCCAGAGCCTCCCTGCCAATGTGGCTCCAGCTCTGCTCCAAGCACAGTTAAATGATGGACACCACGAGCCTTTGTGCTAGGGATTTCCATCTCTACAAAGTCCCAGGGCTGAACAAAGCAGCTCTTGATGTGGCATTCATGGCACGCAGGTGGGATGGAGGAGCTCACCTGGGCAGCATGCGGGTGAACCCTTGAGGCACGGAAGCAGTGTTGGCACAGGTTCCTTGCAAATATGTTGGCTTCAAAGTTGGCACAGGGCACATCATTCACTGAACCTGGCATCCTCCATAGGGATGCAGGTGCTCTGGCTGCTGGGCTACAGGGAGCAGCTAGGAGAAAGGAACAGCAGCAGAAAGCTGAGCTTTCAGCTCCACATCTTCAGGCTCCTATGGAAGCACAAATGTTATTCTCAGACTGAAGCTTGCTGCACTAGGCTGGCCATGCTAGAATCAAAAGGCATCCAGATGCAAGGCCATTAGTGTGACCCACACAATAAAAGGGTATGTAGCAGCAGGAGCCTTCTTTTTTTAGGAAGGGATACTGCTCTGCACCCTTCAACAGGTTCTAATGCAGACTGCCTGGGGAAGGCACGATTTCTTGATTCACCCACTGAACCCAAGCACTCACTTGCAGGCAATGCAGAGAGGAAGAGCCCGACATCCAGCCGTGCCCACTGCTTGCCACACGTGGTAGGAACCCAGAGCATCCTGCTGCCTGATGAGCAAACCGTTGCTCCCCACATCCCACAGGGCTTTTGGGGCCCACCGTTGGCCTCTAGCACTCGTGCAGCCGTAGGTACCCTTCCCGGTGCACCCCAGTATCCCCAGTACCTCCACTTCCCCACGGCTCCCAGCACCGCTCTCCCCGCCGAGCTCCCTTTTGAATGGAGCTCCCCGTGGGAATTGCGGGCAGCCAAGTCCCGCCCACTGTCCTCTCATTGGCCTCGACCGGGCACAGATTTGAATATCGCCCTCTGAGTGGCTGCGTGCCGGCGGGCACGTGTGCGGGCACCCACGTGTCGTTGGCAGCGGTTGGGCGATCGACCCGAGCGGGCCGAGAAAGCAGTGGGGGGGGGGGGGGGGGCTGTCGCTTTTTCCTCTCGTCCCCATCCCCTGCCAAAGAGCAGGCCTGGGGCTCCTGCCCCAGGAGATGGTTAACAGCGGCAGGATGGATCTGCAAGCACTAGGACTCCTAGTGCTAACCAGCTCCCTTGGCTCTCAAAAGCTCTCATCCCGCATCCCGTGAGGTTTATCCTCGGTTCCTTTTTTGCAGCAGCAATAAGACTGCGCTGCATGCAGCCTTGAGCTCCTTACGCTCCACAGGAGCAACGCGGCACACCTCACACACACTGCAGCTTCATCTTTGCACTGAGCTCCAGTTTCTCCGTGACTATTTGACCTTCCCCTCTCGTTTTGATCCTCTGTAATCCCAATCACATTTTTGTGCATGCATGTGTGCAGAATCACAGTCTAGCCAGCAAAAGCCATCATGCACGGACACAGCATATTGGAGCTTCACATCCTTTTCGTGCAAGCTCTTGAACAGTAGCACCACCACCACCCAGGTCCCCTATCTCTGGGGACACGGCTGTGGCTGAGTGTGGGCATTGGCCACAATTGGGTGACCCTGGGGCACACTGTGGTCATGGCGATGACTTTTCAGTGCAGCGGCCACACTAGCACGGTGATTTTTGCAAGTAGGACATATGCAGAAGCAGCTTCCTCATCAACAGCTGGAACTCATTAGTGAGCAGCCAGAGGGAAAAAGCAACAATAACACTGAAAACTGTCTTGAAAAGGAGGGTAAGCAGCAAATGACACAATGACTCTCGCACAGAGAGACTTTAAACCACATGCTGGATGTGCCTGGCAACTGCTTCACACATGAACTCATGTGTATGAGCTGCTATCCTTCACCCAGCATATCCTGGAGTAGCCCAATTCCAGCCCTGCGCATAACAAAGCGGGCGAGGGATGAGTCAGTAATTCACATTACAAAATCAAGCTTGAATCAATCAGATGGAGAAATCAATAGCACAGCAAACAATACTTGTGGTTAACTCCATATAGGATTTAATGGTTCTGCTTTCCCACTTTTTTTTTTTTCTTCCCCCTGAGCATGGAAGGCTTTTCAGGATTTCAGCTGTGGCTTGAGAAAGACTCAGAAGTTATTAGGGCCAGTAATTCTTTTAAATCACCTGGCAGCAAAACAACAAATACCTCGGTGTTGCTGAGGCCACTCTTAACATCCCATCAGGCTTATAATGAGGTATTTCAACACCGTCCCACTGTCATTCCAGGCTTCCACAAACCCAACCCAAAGTTCACACTCCACGTTTCAGCAGGTTTTGCAGCATGACAAACACATGGACTGCAAACAGCGGCCATTCCAGCTTCAGGGCAAACTCCTTGGGAGGCAAAGTGCAAGTCTCATTGTGCCTCTGGTCACCTTGAGGCACCAAGGAAAGGGGAAAAACTGCTGTACTGTACAACCCTGACAGCTAGGATCCAAGCATGTCATCAGACTGTCAGCCTTGCCCACAAGTTGTGTTTCTGCATCTCTGAAACACCTAAAAAGTGAAGGTGAGACAGGAACAGGCTAGTAAGCTGATGCCTCCACAAGGCCTCCAACATCAGTTCAGTTACTTTTTTCCCCTCCCGTTTCTAGCACAGGCAATTTGCTTACTCACCCACTGCCACATTTCCAATTTTCTGGCGTGGGTTTTGGCCACAAAGGCCTTTTTCCCCTTTGTCATTTCTGTGTGCCATGCCAGCACACACATAATAAAGGAAGATGCCCCATCCAGGTGCTGGTCAGAACCTGGCAGAGGCAGGATGGCCACTGCATCCTACAGACACTCCATGACAGAAGTCAGTGTGCTGCTCAGGCTCTTTTCTCTCCTCTGAAGATTGACTTTGTTTTACCAGAAGCATTCCTTACCCCAGCCACGCAGATGCATGGCGACTTCTTTTTCTCTCCTCTTGAAGACATCCACGCTAAAACACACACACCAAGGTTTCCAAGCAGAAGACAGCCACCCTGAAGTAATGCACAGCCTCTGCCACTCCCATCCCAGAGAAGGCCACACACATGCAGCAAGGGTAGTAAGGGATTTCATGCTCCTCTGAGCTATCAGAATGAACATCGGCACATTCAGCAGACAATGGAATGAGCCATTCCTGCTCTGGCGGGTTCTGTATTACCACAAAAACAGCTCCTAGCTATTCCCTTTCCTGAGCACCAGTAGATTTTAAAGATTTTTTTTTCAGCAATAGGAATCATTAACCCTGTTTCCAGCTGGTACCGGTATTAACATCCAGCTGTTATGCTTCAGTTAAGCCACATGTATTTCTCTTAGCAAAATGACTACACAGAATAAACTTACTGAATTTCATATGGGATAGACACCAAAAAAATCACAGAATGGCCCGGGTTGGAAAGGACCTCAAGGGTCATGAATCTTCAACCCCCTGCCACAGGCAGGGCCACCAACCTGAAAAACAAAACAAACAAAAAAAAAAGCATCCCTGCATTTGGCTGTGGCACAGATGAAGAAACATGAGACAAGATGACACCATATCATCCTGGAAAAAGAATTTACTGCACTGCAGAAATAGCAATGCATTGGTTCACAAGCGGAAGCGGAGCTCTCCCCAGTCTCACAGCCCTGACAGTGTGTCTGTTGCATTCAGCTTTAGATTTTCTCCTTTAATAAAGCCAGTTGAGGGTTATGCCATACAGAGAATCTGACCTCCAACAGAAGATTTCAGAGATTCTGTGGCACCTAGGTACTTCATTGGAGACCACTGCAAAATAAATGCAGTGTCTAGTGCCTGTGGCCAACACACAGCAGGTGAATAAGGCTGAACTGGGCTCAGAGAGCCAAGTAAACAAGGTCCTTGATTGTTACAAAGGGGTCGCAAGGAACAGCAGCCCAGCTGCTGAAAACAGTCCCAGCTGCAGCTCTGAGCACCTGGCTCTCAATCTTGGTCGCGGCCCATTTTGCCCGTCAGTCTCCGTCGCTGAGTCTTAGTGGTTCGCCTCATGCTGGGTTTCTGGATTTTCTTAAATGGACCTTGCCCACGCTGGGGTCGCTTTCCTTTCTTCTTTTTCCGGCTGTGCATGTGCAGCGTGGCAGTAAGAGAAGAGATCCTGGGGAGGATAGGAAGAGAGAAATGTTTGGGCACCAAAGTGCACTGCAGAAAGGTGATACTAAAACAGCAGCAGGACAGCCCTGTGTGGCCCAACAGGAATGGACACAAGTAACTGAATGTCCCAGGGGAACTCTACTGTGCTGGGCACCATCCTGACAGGACAGGAGAAGGACTAGACAAACAGTTCAGGTCAAAGCCCGACCTACACCACATCCACCTCACCCCGCTGTTACCAGAGATCAGTGTGATAGAAACAGACCGACCCAGGCAGGCTTCCAGACTGCCAGTGCCCCCTGCTGGCTCCTGTCCACCAGCACTCAAGCAGCACAACATGCCCTCCCAGCAATCACACCACTGATCTGGAAACAAAACATCTTCCTGATCAGCTCACACTGCCCAGCAGCAAGCAGCTGAATGAATTTATACGTACTTTTCAGATAGGAAAGGGTTTCTGGACTTCTTGGGCATTGTTCTTGCAGGCTTGTTCACCATCTCTTCCCCCTTCTCTTCTTCTTCACTTTTTCCCTTAAAAGAAGAAACAAACACATCTTTATGAACACATTAAAACAAGCAGTCTCACAATTCTGGCATCTTTGCTACCTTCTTGGCTTCATTCCTATTTGCAAAACACAGTAACAGATCAACACTTCAAATTTTACACAAGCCTTGTTCAAGTCTCAAGGTTTTGCTATTGCAGCCCTCCAGAAAGGGACAAGCAGCAGAAAGTCCTACATTAATCAATCAACTTCAACACAATCTTACTGGCTACATCTGTGAATTGGAAGTTTCAGCTTTTTCCTTAAATTACTATTAAGGCCTCCATAACCTGATTTTCAGATTAGAAGATGTCCTTAAAAGTGTAAAAGGTTAACTAATCAATACAGCACTTTCCCAAGGTGTTCAAATCCACTCACAACTCATAAAGATCAGAAGGATTGCACCAGTCAGTACCATAGAGCCTTTATGAAACAAACATGAGAACTCAGTTAAAATCTGTTTTGAGAACAGAAGCAACCACAAGCACAACCAAAAGATTTATTTGTGGTCCAAGCATAGGATTGTGGAGGGCAGAATCCCTCCTCAGCCTAGCAGTAACTGTTCATGGACAGGTCACAGAAAATCACAGAGGACAGTCCATGCAGTGAAGCCCAAATTCTCATTACTAGCGTTATACCTGGTTTTACAATATTGTGTTCTCCCTGTCCAGATCTGTGGCACCTTCTACTAACATGAGGTTAAAGAGCAAACAATCCCAAGGCAGCTTAGAAGAAAGCTGCTCAAGGATGACATTTCTTCCTCTGCAGTGGCACAATGTAAGTTGTGGAGAAATGTGAAAATTCAGTTTCCTCCTTCATCTTTGCTCCTAGGCAGCTGCAAGCCTTTTGGCACATCCATGGAGTGCCAATCTAACTAGCCTCCAGAACATTTATAGTTGATGCAATCAGACAGTCAGCAAGAGGTGGTACCTCAGAGGTGGTCAGTCCCAGCTGGCGTGCACCTGAGAGGTCCAGGTCACTGATGGTTGTCACTGTTACAATATGGTTTGGGTGGTCAATGTTCACTGACTCTGTCCGCGATGTCACCAAGTGCTCCAGTTCATCAAACTCATCTAGAAAGACAAAAATATCAGCTTTCCACAAAGTGCACTCACAACAGCACCACGCAACACTAGATGCCTGGGCCAGAGTGGCTGGAAAACTGCATGGAGGAAAAGGATCTGGAGGTGCTGGTTAATGCCCAGCTGAATATGAGCCAGCAGTGTGTTCAGCTGGTCAAGACCAATGGCATCTTGGCTTGTATCAGAAATAGCACAGTCAGCAGGAACAGGGAGGTAACCATCTGCCACTGTATTCAGTTCTGGTGAGGCCACACCTCAAGTGCTGTGCTCAGTTTTATGCCTCTCACTACTAGAAATACATTGATGCTCTGGAGCATGGCTAGAGAACGAAGTGACGCTGTGAGGAGTTTGGAGCACAAGTGTGACAGGGAGCGGCTGAGGGAACTGAGGTTGTTCAGTCTGAAGAAGAGGAGCTCAGAGGAGACCTTATTGCTTTCTACAACTATCTGAAAGAAGGCTGTGGCAAAGCGGGGGTTGGCCTCTTCTCCAGATAAAAGCAATAGACAATTATAGGCAGTTGCTTCAAGTTGCACCACAGGAGATTCAGGTTGGAGGTTGGATATTATGGAAAATTTCTTAGCAATGAGTGGGGATGCATTGGAACAGAATGCTCAGAGAGGTGTCACTGTTCCAGCAGGTATATAAGGAAAGGGCAGATGTATTACTTAGGAACATGGTTTAGTAGGCTATATTGGTGGTAGGTGGACAGTTGGACTAGATGATCTTACAGATCTCTTCCAACTTAATGATTCTATGTTTCCTGCACTATCATGTGGGGGGTCAGGAGTCCAGTCTTTGCATGCAGGGTTAAGGCATGAAGGGCAAGCTACCTCTCCCAGCCAAGATCTCAATGCCTTGGAGATACCCTCCTGCATGGTCCTTCCTGTCCAACCTGCCCAGTTTTGTTTCCCACTAGGGACAGGGGGCCCCCATTCAGCCCATCGCACGAGCTCTTGCCCAGCTTCTCAGGGGGACACGAGAAGAATGATGCAACGTCCCTTTGGGGTAGGACCACTGTTACAACTATGCCTGCCCAGCTACAGAGGCTGTTCAGTTTGGTGCCTCTCACAGGCAGTTAACTCCTCTGATACTCATTCTGTTGCAAAGGAGCCCAAACCCTACAGGCACAGAGGACATACATACCAAGAGCTTCCTCCCTTTCACGCAGCATCTTCAGGTACTCCTTGTGCCTCTGGAGAGACAAACAGGTCACTACAGCAACCTTGCTGTTATAAGTGTCCATTCCACCCCAACCCCTTCACCCACGAGGTCCCACTCTCCCCCTAAGTGAGGGAAGGGAAGTATGAGGACCCCAGGAAACAGTTGCTACGTGCCTGCCCCACAACCCTGACATGGCAAAAGGTCCTTTGTCATCAGGAGGAGCTATACCTCCTCTTTCATCTTCCTCTGCTCTTCCTTCAGCTTCCTCTTGATCTCCTCCAGGGCCACCTTCCTCCTCTCCACCTTCCGTTTATGGAAGCCAGTCAGGTACTCCCTAAACACCGGGAACAGAGCAAACCTTCAGCTTCCAGCGGCCTCGTTCCCCGCTCACTTTGCCACCTAGAAGCCCTCGTAACCTCACCTCCGCCTCTCCTCATCAAAAGTCACCACCAGCCGCGATGCCGCACTTCCAGACCCCTTCTTCTTCTTCCGACCCATGGCTAGCCCACGCTGCCGCCACCCCACTTCCGGTCAGACCCCTCTTCCGGTCCAAGGAGTCCCCGCCTCTTCCGGTCTGCCCATTTCCGGCTCCGCACAGCACTGCCCTGTGGGAGGTGTGGCGCTATGAGGGCTGTCCCTCGGCCGCCATTTTGTGCCTAGGCGCGTCTCTCATAAAAACATTATTTCTAAGTAGTGTGTCGTTGTGCGGTGGTGCCTGGGTTGTGCTACTTAGCCCGGGCAGGTGTGTGTGAGGGTAGATCTCAGCTCTGAGTCTGTCTCCGAGACGCGGGAGCAGTTGTGGTGGGGAGTGGTCTCGCTGCTGGCTGACTGGGTTGGCTTTAGCTGAACTCTTGAACCCCTCGTGACCTCCCGTCCTCGCTTTAATGAGTGTGACTCTTGCTTGGCGGCCAGCTGACTTCGGTGGAAGCTCCGCAAGTGTTGTGAAGGGAAGCGTTGGCAGAGTCAGCCCACAGAGCGTGGCAAGCACTGCCGCCTCGTCCCAGGTCACCTTGTCTTTATCAGCTCTCTGGCTACTGGGGTTCTTTTCCTGGCCAGTCCTCTCCCCAGCAGAAATGCGGAAAAACCAGTTCTGTGGTTAATTACTGCACTTCCCTCCACGCCCATGGGTTCGGCTGCCTCCTCCTCCTCTTTTCTCCCAGCCTGGGTGCACTTCGGCCTCTTTGCCCCAGCCTGTTCTCTGCCGGCTCAGGTGCACCATTAGGCCTGCATATTCATTCTGTTAATCTCAGGGCTTCTCCTGCCTTCCCATCTTGTTCCTGCAAGGCCTGCTGGTGGCTCCTTCTCCCTCAGGGTGCACCGCAGGTGCAGAAGACACGGGCACCTGCACTGCCCAAGAGGGTGACAATTTGACACCATGGCTGGAGGTGATAAGAGCATGAAGGCCCTGAGGGAGGTGTGGAGAAGAGCAGAAAACTCATTGTGTGCAGACTGCGGGAAGCCGGGTGAGTCCCTGAGGGCTGGATCTTCTGAGGATGGGTCAGAAGAAAAGGACTGGGTTTGGTCTCTAGTAGCCGTTGTGGCCAGCTCAGTGCCTTGAGGCATATGAGAATGGAAAGGAGTGATGCTAGGGGATGGTTGTTGGAACCAGTGCAAAGCCCAGCAGTGTTGTGTGAGTTGATTCCATTTGTCCAGGCTGCAGGGGGTCCCAGAGGTGGGGGAGTAAGGGAAGACAAAGGAGATGCTGCCACAGTGCTGGTGGAAAGAAGGACAGGGACGAGGTAGCGCCAAAGCTGCAGCACTGTGGATTGCAGTCGTGTTGGATCTCAGACACAAATCAAAGTCATGCCCAGTCAGGACCTGAGAAGAAAGTTCCCAGTGGAAACCTAGCTGCTCCAGAAAAAAGGCATGATTCAGGAGGGCATTGTCTTGTCTGTGACTCAGCTCTGAACTGACAACTTGCCATGGACAACCTGAGAGGTTTCTTGTACTTAAGAGCTTATCCTCTACAAAGGGTACCGGTTTGAAGTCTACCAGTACTGCTAAAAATGACTGTTGCATTTCTTCCAAAAGGTACATGTGGGTTGTACCATCCAAGACAAATTAATTTGTCTAATTAATACCACTTTACCTTCTTAAATTTTCCCCTGAGAATTCTGATTTTACAGTTGCTTTTCACTTCCTGAGCTAAATAGTATTGTGGGTTTGCTGTGTTGCACGAAACAGCTCCTGGAGTCTCAGATGATTCTTTATCCAAAGGGAATTTACAGAGCGCTTTGGAGTTTTCCAAGGTTCAAGTTAATTGAGATTCAGATTAAGCAGTTGAAGCAGGAGGAATGCAGCAGTATGATGCTTTTTCTAGACTGCCTTCTGTATGCTTGGTTAATTAGTCAGCTCAGCTGAAACCATGGTTACCAAGATCTCCATTTCTCAGTAATGCATTCTCATTTGAGGCATATCCCCCCCAAGGAATTTACCACTTCTGGTCATACCTTCGCCCCTTTTTTATGCCCTCAGATCCTGACTGGGCATCCTCTACCTTGGGTGTCTTTATATGCCTTAGCTGCTCAGGAATTCACCGGAACATCCCTAGCATCAGCAAAGTCAAATCCCTGAAGATGGACCACTGGGATGATGCTCAGGTGCAGGTGAGAACTTTGTCCCACTGGTATGTTGGGGTTGAGTCTAGGTTGTACACCATCTCTTCTTTTGGCCTTTGGCCTCACAAAGTTGGAGATCAATGTAACTTTGCTACGTGTGCTTAACTGGGGATAATTCCTCTTAAATTGCTGGGAGGATGTGCTTGCCTTGAGTGCCTCTTCGTGCCCTATTACTTTATGGCTGGCACAGATCTCTTGCATCTTATCTTGACAACGTTTAGGGTCTTTATTGCTCATGGTTACTGATTTCTCAGTTGCCAGCTCCATCTAGACACAACATAAGTCTACATCAAAGAGAAGACACTAACTCTCTTTCTAACTGCAGTTTCTGGCCAAGCATGGGAATGCTGTGACTAAGGCCGTGTATGAAGCTCACATCCCTATTTACTATTACCAGCCAACCTACAATGACTGCCAGTAAGTTGCTGCATACAAATGAAAAGGGGGATGGCAGTTCTGGATTGCTGTAGTTTGTTTCTAAGCTGTCACCTCTCCTTGTAGGGTGCTGAGAGAACAGTGGATACGGGCCAAATACGAACGGAAAGAGTTCACTGAGCTTGGAAAACAGCTACTGTACACAGATGGTAAGAGCAGGGCATAACTTCAGAATTGCTGCCTGTTGCCTTTTCTGGAAGCTTTTGAGCACCATGAAAGCTCATCAAAGCTGCAAATCCCACAAGTATTCCCGAGTACCTGCCTGATAGGTACAGAGCATGGGCTTGGAGGTGTTTAAATTGTAGGAAGTGTAGTTTGGCACTGCTGTAGGTTGTTTCCAAGCATGGTATTACCAGCTGGTGTTGCTCAAAACCATTTGCTTTGCTGGTGGATTCCTCTTGGGAGAATAGTCTTCAATCTGACCTTTCTACTCTTAGGGGTGAAGGAAGGCATCCTCTGGAAGCGAGGTCGAGACAGTGGGCAGTTCCAACCCCGCAAGTTCCTGTTGTCAGAGAGAGAGGGATGTCTGAAGTACTTCACCAAGCAGGATGTGAGTATAGTGGTCAACTCAGGGCTGTGGGGTTATGGAGACTCTTCTATCTCTGTGAGATTTCCTTACTCACTCAGCCAGAGATGGTAACACATCACAGAAGAGGGATTCCCTTCCAACTACTGACATTTCCCCTGCATCTTCACTTCGTGCTTCACCACATCCTTACCTCTTCAACAGTTTCTTTGCTCATGGCAGGGAAGCAATCGCACTTCCATGAGACTCCTCTTTTCTTGTCTCACTTGTTAATCTCCAAGTGCAGGACTGAGATACAGTCCTACAACATCACTGCTGATCGGCAGGTTGATCTTTCACTTCATCCTAATCCATTTCCCTGGCTGTACAACCCTGCGCTGTCCTTGGAACCAACCTCACCTTACTGTGAACTTAGTTGCCAAAAACACTTTAAGTAGGGCTTTTCTGCTAGTTTGTCTCCCTGAAAAAATGGGACAAATGCTAGTATACTGCCACAAGTGAGGAAATGGCTTAGGATAGGGAGGGCTAGGTGTAAAGTCTTTCCTTTTGGGGCCAGTTAGCCTTTAGACCAGGTCAGCTGTAAAGTCAGATGCACTTTCAGCATCTCACTGGTTGTCCCAGAGTAGGCACAGTTCAAATTTATTTTGGAAGGGCTGAGCCATTATTTGGGCATGCCACATAGGAAAGAGAATGTGTACAACTGGGAAGGAGCAATTAGTACATTTTTAAGACCTTCTAACCCTGCTTTATCCTACTAAGTCAGTCACTTAGATCACTTTCCCACTAGAATTGCTCATGCATGACCAATGCTATTCTGTTCTCAGGCCAAAGAACCCAAAATCAATGTCAAAATAGATGTCATCAATGCTACATTCCAACCAGAGAAGATTGGGAACCCCAATGGCTTGCAGATCACCTATCTCAAAGACAACAAGACTCGGAATATATTTGTCTACCATAAAAGTGGAAAGGTATATTGTTTAGCATCACACTGCAAAGACATTGAGGCTGATTGGAGAATTAACTAATACCGAGTAGCATGAGGAATGAGTTGGGATAGAAGGTGTGTGCATGTGTGGGAATTGCTGTAGGTAAACAGGTTGAGAATTCTGATTCTCTGTGTGTCTGTCAGAGAGTTTTGCTGCAGGGAGCAGAGCAAGAGCACTGGCTGAGTGGGTTTCTGTGGGAGGAGCTGCTGCAGAAGGTGTGCAGATGTACTGCCTGTGCTGTCTGTATGTGTGTGTGAGGGTGAGGCCTGGAGAAGGGAAACCTGGTTGTTTTTGCAGCTGACATAACGTGGGGTGCAGCTGGATGAGTTTGAGTGTCTCACTGTGGCTGTCCCTAAGCTTTCTGTTCTCTCCTGTTTTATTTTCAGGAGGTGGTGGACTGGTTCAATGCCATTCGGTCCGTGCAGTTCCATTATCTGAAGGTAGCATTTCCCATAGCCAGCGATAATGAGGTAAGGCAGCACTAGAGTGCAGTGCTGAGTCTCCTGCTGATGTTCGGTTGCTCTGATAAAAGAGCCCATTAGTTGTTATTAGATCTCCAGGCACACAAGTGGAAATTGCAGTATTTAGATAGAGAAGTGAAAAAGTGTGCATACAGGAGCCTGGGATGACAGAGAGCAGCTCATTTCTCCTATTTCTGGGCACTCTGGAGACCAAAGTGACTCCTAGCTAAGGCAGTTCTACAAACATGACTTTAAAAGGGAGCTGAATTTGGGCAAACAGAAGGAAGGCCATGGTGTTGGAAGTGAACAGCAAAGCAACATGGCTAAGTGAATGTTACTCTTACCTTTTTGTCAGATTAAAAGCCGGCTGACAAGAAACTTCTTGAAGGAAGGATACATGGAGAAGACAGGTCCCAAGGTGAGCTGCTTGGGGGTGAAGAAATCTAGCAGGGACCTCCCAGAGAGCCATTGATTTTCCTCACTCCATTGTTTTTCTCCCAGTTTCCCCATCCCCACCCTCTATTCTTTTGACACTACAGTGGGACTGAAAAATTGCTTTCAGTTCCTCACTCTCAGCTTAGAGGGAGAAAGAAGGCTGCTGTTAAGGCAGGGGCTTGGTTCAAGCAGTTGTGCTGAATTTTGGGCATCCATTCGCACTGCTCACGGCAGAGGGCACTGTCACCTTACGTATGTCACCTCTTCCCTTTACAGCAGAGAGAGGCTTTTAAGAAGCGTTGGTTCACACTGGATCACCGCAGGCTCATGTACTTCAAGGACCCTTTGGTGAGGGCGAGATCTGACCTCTGACAACTGTAGGCAACAGTGCTGAGGGCAGGGTCAGAGTGCAAACAGAGTCTTGCTTCTTTGCTTTGCTCTGTTGTAAGGGAGGCTTGTGGGTTTCCCAGTGGCTCTGAATGGACTCTAGGTCTTCCCCTTTCCATCCCACTTTGTTCATCCTGCACTTTCTTTGTTTGCTTACTGCCTGCAAACAATGGGAACCGGGAAGGTTGTGGTGCAAAGGTCGTGGTGTCAAGGGTGATGCCATGGAAGGTGTTGATGGAGAGGCAGATGCAGCTTTCTCTCTCTCAGACCTCTCGAGGTCTGTTCTCCTAAGTTTTCCTTTCAGTCACTGTCTTTGGGCGTAGCCTCCCGGTTCTGAATCCCCTGACCACCTTCAAGTCTTGTTGCTGCTATCTCTTTGATCCTTATCCCTTCTCCTGCTGCCCGCAGGAGCTCTGCTATTATTAGTTGGTTCTTCTTGGGTACAGTTAATCCCTCTCTTTCCCTCTGGATGTGCAGGATGCATTTGCTAAGGGTGAGGTATTTGTGGGCAGCAGAGAGAATGGCTATAGCGTCCAGAAGGGATTGCCTTCAGGGACACAAGGCAACTTCTCTTGGCCCTATGGCATCACCATTGTCACGCCTGACCGAGAATACCTCTTCACCTGCGAGACAGAGGCTGACCAGCTGGACTGGATCACAGCTTTCACAAGCATCATCAACCAGGCCATGACACCACAGGAATATGCCAGTAAGCGCTTGGATGGTGTTTCCTTCTCCTCTTGCTGCCCTGCCACAGAGTATTGCCCTAATGCACTGCCTTTTTTCTTCTCTACAGTTGAAGCCTACTTCAAGTTTAAATCATAGGAAGCCGGACAGGAACCTTGCTGTAACTCAACTCTACCTGGTCCTGTTGGGTGGGCTATCAGAAGAGGAGAGAAGATTGATGTCAGAGAAACACAGTGCTATTGCAGCCTACTCTTTGAAGCACTTTTTTTTTTTTTTTTTTCTCTCCAAGAACAATCTTCTTTTTAAGCTGCTTCAAGTCCAAGACTTTGTGAGACTGAATCCTCAGTGCAAACTGTCAGTGGTAAATTGCTGTGATCTGACTGGATGTTGACAGGCCTTGCCTGTTGATAGGGCCTCAAAAACTTAGCACTTGCTGTGGTGGACATGGGACCTAGCATCACATTTGCAGGAAACTGCAGGCAGCCTTATGCAAGAATGCACAAGGTTTAACCTTGTACAAGAAAACAGCTGCCTTACTGGAGATAATGCAGTTGGCTGTAGAGGCTGCTGGACTAGGAGAGACTTTCATTACAAGAAGTGGCTTCTCTGCTGGTGACAGAGATGTAAAACATCTGGTTATTTAATCAGCTAGAGCTACATTTGAAAAAGGTCACGTAAAAGATTTAATCTAACAGTCATGTGAGATGTGTTTCTTCCAGTCTATATGGGCTTGAGAGCTTCGGACCATGTTTGTATGGAGATCATCTTCTGACTGCTCCTGAGCTCAGAAACAACAGTTATGTATGTATATGTAAATGGACAGTGTGTGTGTACCCACAAGAAAAAAGTGGTGGGAGATGAAATACTGCCCTAGAGAAGACACTGTGAGGGACATTCATGTTATTGAAGTTCAGCTGTCAGATTTGAGTCTCTGTAGTTAAACCCATAGAGAGAGGCTGGCTCCTGCAGGGAGCAGTCGATAGCATGTCTTCTATATGCTTCTGACACACTGTTGAGTCTAATACAGCCTAGGGGTTGATGTCTGAAGTTGGAATATGTGAGTATCTACTGCCCTATTCTCTGGGTGTCAAAGTCCTGTCACTTGCTTTCTCACCTGTACGTTATATATGTATATGTAATATACATTTATGCAGTAGTGTATAAGGGAAGTCTTATGTCTGCTCTCTAAGACAAACGAAGCTCAGATGTGGGGAAAAAGAGAGCAGGGCAGTGGTTGGCACAAAGGGCCTTGCAGCACGAATGTCATACTGTGATACTCCAGTAGAAGGCAGTGGTGCCCCAACACACTTTTGCTTCCTGCTCTTGCGAGGCAGGCGAAGGAGATCTTAGAGGAGGAGGAGGGTGGCCTTTGGAGAGAGGAAGGAAGGAGTGGAACTGAAATAAATAGCCCCTTGATCTTTAGGAGCTTGATGGTTACTAATGACAAGGGTGGGAGAGTGCCAGGCTATAAGAATGGGAGATCTTTGGTGGTCTGTGGGAGTCTTTGATTGCACGACTAGGGACTAAATGCATTGACTGCACCTCAGGAGATCTTTGGCTTTGAGTGCGGGGCAGGCCCTCTTACCTTAGCTCAGCTAAGGGTCAGGGGGCAGCATCAGTTCTTTCAGTTTTCAGGGCTGATCCTTGTTTCTCTCTTAAAGCCTCAATTGTTTTTCCCCTCTTGCCAGACTCAGAAGTCTTATCCTTCATTAAATCTTCCTTCAAAGGAGGAAGACTGAGCAAGAGGGAATGGGGAAAAGAAAGAGAGTAAAAAAAAAGGAGGAGAGAAGGAAGAAGGAATGTATCTTCTAAAATAGGAGCTCCCCTTGTCTCCTTGGCTGGTGACTAGCAGCTCAGTACAAATTGGGACCACATTCACACCTGTGTGTGAAGCTGAGTCAGACACATTCCAGTGCAGTGGGCAAGGCAGCTCTCCAGGGCTGGGCTGGGGGGACACTTACCCAGCAGCAGAGCTGAGAGAACACAGAGACTGGAGAGAAGGAGGAATGCACTTGTTCAGAGTCTGCTGATTTTCTGCCCAGCGAATACTGGAGGAGCAACAAGTGAGGAGCTGGTGAAGAAGACAGACATTTCTTCTTGTCTGGCAGACATTTCTTTGCACCTATCAGTCTTGAAGGAGAGAAGGTGCTGCTTTTTCAGCCTGAGGAAAACCAGCAGACGGCACTTGTGGTGAACGAGATTGGCAAAATAGACTGGATGGCTGGAGGTGAGGAATAGACTTCTCTGGAGACTTAGGTTTGCTGAGTTTGTGCCATTCATCCCTTCCTTGGCTGCTTTTGTTAGAAGTAGCTGTGCCCCCTACAGCAGGCAGGAAAAGCAGGAGGAAGGAGAGGGTCTCCAGCAGCCTGATTGCTCTTTCACTCCATCCCCAAAGATGTCTTGCAACTCTTCCCTCATCCATGTAACGCCTGGCGAGGACCTTGAGGGTGGCAGCTTCTTAGAGGAAAGCAGCGGTGAGGACGACATCAGCAGTGTTCTAGGAGGGGACAGCCCCGTGACAGGGCCTCTGGGCACAGCGCTGCTGCTCATGTGCCTCATTGGGATGGTGGGGAACATCTACACGGTGCTGGTGGCCTCTGGCAAAGTGGCAGGCCGCTCGGCAGGCTCCTTGGGGGTCTATGTGATCAACCTCGCCCTGGCTGACCTCCTGTACCTCTCCACCATCCCCTTCGTGGTCTGCACCTACTTCACCCATGACTGGTTCTTTGGAGATGTGGGCTGCAAGCTTTTGTTCAGCTTGGACCTCCTCACCATGCATGCCAGCGTTTTCCTCCTGACCGCCATGAGCCTGGAGAGATACTGGGCAGTAACCAGGCCGCTGCGGTCCAGGCGGGCTGGCAGCGCTTACCGCAAGCCAGCCAGTGCCATCCTCTGGCTCCTTGCCTTCCTGCTTACAGCCCCCATGATGGCAATGACCCAATTGCGGGAGGGTGATGGTCCCAACAAGCGCATCTGCATCCCCACGTGGACGCCAGCAGCCTTCCGCCTCTACTTGACGGTGCTCTTTGCCACCAGCATCCTGGTGCCCGGTGTGGTGCTGATCGTTGTCTACACCCTCCTGGTCCGGGTGTACCGCTCTTCCACCTGGCACCCGGGACTGTCAGCGGCCGGCCGGGCTCCCTCCCAGCGTCTCTCCTCCAGGATCTCTGCCATTGTGGTGGCTTACTGGGCCTGCTTCCTCCCCTTCTGGGGCTGGCAACTGGCTGGGCTGTACCAGCATGAGGGCATAGGCATGGGCCCTACTGCCCAGGCCTACCTCAACTTTGGTGTCACTTGCTTAGCCTATGGCAACAGCTGTATCAACCCTTTCCTCTATACCCTGCTAGCCAGTAGCTACCGCCGGCATCCCAAACACACGAGGAGGCCATAGCACCTTCCTGGCTTTTGTGTAAATATTGGGGCTCATGGGGAATAGCAGGGGGAGCCCTGGGTGACAAGCAATGCCCTGAGTGAGGGATATCACCCAGGTTTTTGCAAGGGTTGAGTAATGAAATAAAAGTGTTGTCTTATTTGCTGTCTTGTGGTGTGTTCCATCCTTGTCATCAACCTGGCATGTTCTCTTTCGTGCCTTTTGCAAGACTGCTTGAGGATGCTCTTCCCAGGGATCCCAGTTCTGGCGTGTGTGAGGAGTCCTCCAGCCCTCACCCTATGCAAGACCAGAGTGGGTGAAAGGGTGCAGTCAGCATCTATATGCCTTAATTATATATCCAAGGAGCTCAACCACCCTCACTGCCTCTCAGGCAACGGACAGAGCTGTAACAGAGCCCAGACAACAGTGACTCACAAATATCATGGGAGCTGTGAGTCACATGAAGAAGCAGCCACGCTAGCAGGAGACCTGAATAAGATTCATCCCCAGCCTGTGGTGAAAATTTCATTCAATTTCCTTCCCCTCACTCTCACCAATATTTTTGAGGAATCTTTCTGAAAAATGAATCCCAAGTGCAATTTGAAGACATTGTGCTATGTGTGAGTTTGCCCTTCATAAGGGCTCATTAAATGGCCTATCACCAGCACTGTGTCCCTGCTGTGGGCAAGGACATCCCTGGTCCTCTGTCCTGCTGAATGTACCCCAGGTTGTGACAACTTCAGTGACACAAACTGAGCCACGTCTTACATCTTGAGTCCATCTTACCCAGCACAGCTCAATTCCATACAGCTAAACTTTCTTATTCCCAGACAAGACAGCCTTATCCAGCAGCAGAGCTGAGAGAACAGAGACTCAAGAGAAGGGTGGCAATACTAGATGCTGTTTTTACTATCACAGACGTAGCCTTAAAGAGCAGGCTGCAATTGTACAGAGCAGACTGGTTTTGAACAACAGGAGGCTTCAAGAGATCTGGTTTAAGAGCCTCAACCTGCTTGTACACCCCAAATATTCCTGCCTCCCATCCCAAAAGTCCATCTTGAGCCTAGCTTCTCTTCCCCAGCCCATGTTTCCTAGCAGATGAATCTTACTCTGCATGAGTCCCTGAGACACAGCAGCTGGCAAATCCTCATGAATTATGGAAAAAGAATGGGAGGTGCTGCTGCCTTAGGAACAAGCTCCCATGCACCAGCTGCTCTGCAGCTGCCTAATGGAAAGAAACAGCCTGGCCAGGCCTGCAGGGTACCTTTGTAGGACATCAAAGTGTTCGTCCTTCACCTTGCTTGTGGTCCAGCTCAGAAATAAGGTCCTAAAGATTGCGTTCTTCTATCAAGGCACAGCCTTCCCAGCAGCACTACTCAGTGCTGCTTACAGCTTTACATAGCATCAGACTGAAAGAGTCAGTGGCTTTGCCAAAGGTACCCTTCCACTTTTTTCCTGCACAGCAGTATCTGGCCCTAACACTGTTTCCCACTCAGACTCTTCCTGGGCTTTTCACTTTCTTACTTCCTATGCTCTTGGCACAACCTAGCCTCCCCTTTCCCACCATGACTTTGAGGACCAATGATCACTCCCACCCACATCTGACATTCCTACACAGTAAGTTATTACCATCCCAGTTTCCCCAGTTGTCCAACCCTGTAGGTTTGTGATATAAGAAAGGTTAATCCTTGAGACCAAGTAGAAGAAAACACATTTATTGATTACTTTTCTTAAATTTTGAGACAGATGTGAGGAGTTACTCCCAGCTGACAGACCGGAGCGTGAAGTCTCCATGTGTATCAAAGTAGTCAAAGACAGAAAGACCAAGCCGATTGGGGAATGAGAACTGGTGGCCTGGCAGGTGGACGGTCACATCGCTTGGGTTGATGCTGAAAGTGATCTGCAAAACAAATGGAAAAGTCAGAGAAAACTTATGTCAGGATACCCTCAAGCCTTCCCCATTCTTCAGAGTGAACGTGCTCAGCAGCACAGCTTGCTCTTCAGCAGCAGGAGTGTTCTGTCTTCCAAGTGACACCTATGCCTTGCTTAGTTCAACAGTAACATCTCTTGGAGCTACACAGAGCTTGCACATTTGATTCCCACCCTTTGCCACTGCTCAAAGATCTGGATGGTGGCACTGACCAAGCAGGAGAAGCCAGCCACCCCCTGTACAGACAGCTCAGAGTACAGTACATACGGAGAGTGTATCCCAAGCTATACCTCTATTGGAGCTCCCTTCTGGAAAGGGAAGACTGTCTCCCTTTGCTCTGTACCCCACTCTTCCATTTTCTTTGAGTTGCACACAATGAGGTTCACATCACCATGAGCATCGAAGCGGGGGTTGAAGTGAAGTCCCAGGTGGGTTGAGTCCTTGCCCAGATTCATCACAAAGCTGCAAAGAAAGGAGACAAACACCATGTTGCATGCTGCACACTGAGTCTAGGTCTGTTCTGTCAAGCCCAGCTGACGGTGCCGAGGTTCAGTGTGCAGCCCTGAACATGGAGTTACTCTGCACCCAAACCAGCTCCCTAGAAGCTGCTTGTCACTGCGTTCTTTCCAGCCCTAAACAGTTAGCTGGTGCTGCACCCTGCCTGACAGCCACTGCTTCTCCCCATCCTGCAGGCAGCTGCAGTAATTACCATCTCATTAGCTATCCCAAAGCGTCTTGCAATGGTAGTGGGAGGAAACAACTTCCCAGCCTGCTGTCCACCTTGCCTCCAGGCCTCTTACTGAGATGAGAAGTGAGGAGGAATATTATTTGGCAAGAGAAAGCCCAGGAGGCTTCACGCCGACAGTATCAAACTTCAAAGGCACTGGGAAGAGCTGTGACATGTTTCCTGGAACACCGCTAGTGCTGGTACAGCACTCCAGGCTCCACCTCACTTAACAAGGAGTCCTGCCAATAGCAGAGCTGCGTGAGGGTTGGGAACTACTGCAGAGTCCCCAACCCTGGGCCCCAGCCATTGATCCCTGCAGAGATAAGAGCACTTCCGGTGCACCTGTCCACTCACTACTTTTTCCCCATTCCTTCCCCACCTGCATACAAGAGGCATCTCTACTGGATGAACACCCTGAGACCACACTATCACCTCCAGTGGGACCAGTAGTTTTACCACTGGCTTCATCATGGGTCTGTGGCTCAGAGCATCCATGACCAGAACACCCAAGATGTCCCCAGCTGCTTGAGCTATAGTCTTCTGCCCAAGACAGCAAAGTACAGAAATGGTGCTCCTGGGCAACCTTCGTGCAGGGGAAAGGATGTGGCTTTTTAGGATGGTCACAAGCCACATCTCAGTATAGATTGAGCTTCCATTTCCTTTACTCTGTGCTATAGAGGATGTGGTCGCTGCCAGTGCGTGCAGCTGGAGCTTCACATCTGCTCTGGCTTAGTCCCTTGGCAGTAGAGCATGTCTGCAATGTGCATTAGGCAATGACTCACCGGGAAACACTGTTGGTGTTAACCCTTTTCAAAGCTGCTCCACTCCCACCCAAGGGAGGGGATTCCTTCTGTCCTCACTAGCAGAAGCCAACTCAGCATGGTGCTTTGGCCACACCGGGGTGGCACAGCTCAGCTTACCTTTTGGCATTCGGTGCGATTATCCCCTTGACAGTGAGGCGCTGGCCAGGCTTGAGACCCAAGTTGGTGCACACTGGTCCCTGCTAAACATGGAAGCAGAGACATTAGCTCAGCACCTGCTAGCTCACTTGTTTTGGCAGCTCTCCTTGCTGCCTCAGTATAGTACATTGCCTTGGACCAAGGGAGAGGCAGGGATGCTCCCTTCCCCTAGGGCAAGGCACATGGGACACCTCAGAGAAGTCACTCCAATCAGACAAACCATGTGCCCGATTTCCCAACCTCCTTCTTTGCTGCTGTCATCAATGTGTCTATATTTCATGGCAATGAAGTGAAAGTACCTGCAAGCTCCCATCACGCCCATTCTGTCCTGAACACACCCATGTACTGTATGGGTCTCATATCATCCCAAGGAACCTGGATGTGCAGGGATGGAGCCTCCGCTCCGTTCCCCTGGCTTGGATTTGGACCTCAAACCTTGCTTGGGTCCAGGAGCTCAGACATTCCACTCTCTTGTGTCCAGGGGCTTACTTCCTGAAAATTTAACATTTGCAAGAAATTTGCATGCACCTTTCTGCGTTTTGTCAAACAGAAAGAAACATCCTACTACTCATATCCATATGTGCTCATTGCCCAGTCTGTTCCCTGGCATGACCACAAGAATTTTTTCTTCTACCAAGGTTTCATTTGCACTTGGGGCACTCCCTGATTATTCCTTCTCAGACTACTGCAAGAAATCAAAGTGCAAACACTTCCCTGATACAAGCATCCCTCCAACAGTCCTTGGTACTCTGAGAAGGGCACTTTAGAGAAGTGCATTTTTGTACGAGAAATAATGACTGAGTGACTCATGAAAACTGCAGCCAGGAAGCAAGCAATAGGGCAGCCCAGAAAAGAAGACGCTTAGAAAGCAATAAATACTACTTCAGCTGCCTCCCTGGAGCAGAACCTCTGCAAAACAGGTTACCCCAGCTCAGGAACCAATCCAGCAAGGACCCCCCACATATCTCCCCAGAGGAATCCTGCAGGGGAAGAAAAAACCAAACTCCTGACTGAACAATCAACAACAAGAAATAACAAGAAATAGCAGTCACCCCTCTGTAGGAGGTGCAGCAGGGATCTTGACTCCCCCAGCAGCAGAACACGCAGCTCTAACAGAGCCTCCAACACAGGGACTGATGAGCAGGTAGAGGGTAGCACACCCTGCTGCCAAGCCAACATCTTCCCCATAGCCCTTCTGGGCTCCATCCTCCCATTCCCTCCCTACTCACACAAGACATGGTGCTGCTATGCAGGCTGATGCTCCTCTCTTCCAAGGTGCAAAAGTCCCAGGCAAGTAGCTGCAGGACCACACCCTTGCCTTTAAGTAGATGGAGAGCTGACTAGAGCCAGCCCTTCACCAACCCCAGCTGCCAATAGGATCGAGAATAAGGTGGGAGGAGCTGGTTTGGGGGAAGGGAAGACATGTCTCCTCCCTCCCTCATCCAGGCCCCTCTCCGGGATGCTAATCCCAACCTTTCCAAGCAGGCTGCTGGCCACTCCAGGAAGAGATCCAGCTGTGTGTGGCCAT